AAAAGTAACTGCAATGTTTCAATGTAGATTTTACAACAAAAAAAAATGCTACTTTAACCACCCCCGCGGTTAAATTAGCTTACAATAATGGTTAAAGTAGCATTGTTTAGTTGTGAAATCTACGTTGAAATATTGCAGTCACTTTTTTTTAGCAATTGAATTGTTTAATCAGCAATTTCATTTTTTCCGTGTTTGTCCGAAGTACAACGATTTGCGTGATAAAGATTTTCTAGTTTTGTGAAGATACATCTCGCAGTCCAGCAACAACACTGGTAAATTTTATTTGTGTTTCTCTCAAATTCTCGATTTATTGCTCTCCAACTTGTGAATAATTTCAAAGAGTCAATGTTTAAAATTTTTGGATGTACTTTGCACCTATGGTGATTCAGGATAAACCCGTAGAAGTTGTGTACAATAATCTTATTTACTCCTCACCTCAGGGGCTCTTTAATTTGACTTCATCACAAATGGACCGCGTTCAGCAGAAAGGAACCAAGCTACATCAGCTATGGCCAAATCTAACTGGGCAAGTTAATTTTTTACTGAAGAACTTTAGTGCGGATTCCTTCGAAAATTTTTAGGACTTTGCCTCGTACTATGCAGAGAATTCATCGAAACTTTCCCCAAAATCTGCACCACCGTTTTCATGTAAATATTTAAATTGCCCAATTAAATTTGACAATAGTTGATGTGGCTTGGTTCCTTTCTCCTTAACGTGGTCCAAAGGTAATATCACCATCAAGTATGTAATAACCAATTGGACTACATTTTTCAATTTGGAACTATAAATTCTGGCCCGGTTTAAAAACAACGTGTGTGCCATTAGTTTCCCTATGCACATAAATGTTTTTTCAGGTGAGCCAGAATTTATAGTTCCAAATTGCAAAATTCAGTCCAATTGTGAGCATACTCCCGGGTTCATACCTACCTGTGGAAAGTAAACTTTCCACTAAATTACATCGAATTCTGGAATAGAGGTTGTAGTTATAGTGTGTACGACACACTGTAAGAAACAGCTCCTCTTTCGAAAGATGAAATTTTATGAAAGGGTGGATGCACCGAATTGATAAGTCTTTGTTGTCACGGGACAGAAATTAAATCAACGATAAGTTTATGTTAGGTAATGCTGTAATTGGGTTTTTTGACGAAAACTTCATCGGTCAGAGCTGAGATGTCAGAAAAAAGGAAGACTTCGCGCAAATTTTTTTTTTACAGCGCCTTCATTTTGCCATGTAGGCATAAAAACATTCCACTTGTAATAGTCTCCTTTTCCAGCAAATGTGCCTCGCGTCGTCTATATTTTTTCCGTGGCAGCAACTTACATCGAGAATAAACTATAGGTAGCTTCATTTCATGCTCCCTATATTTCATTTCATGGCTTTTCATCGCTTATTTTACACATTTTTCTATCTCTTTTAGTTTGTGAGATATTAAACAATTAAACTTACTTTCTGGACAACTCTCGTACATTCTGTACCGACTTTTCGTGGGAGGCAATGCTCAAAATTAACAACAACAAAAAAAAAAAGCAAAATTTTTAAAAAAACAGATCGATGCGAGAGAAACAAAGACTCGTCCTTTGTCAATCGGCAGGAGTGATGGTTTTGTGGCAAACATCTCGACTTTTGATGGATCGGAGCCCAGAGTTGCCACATCTGCCAAAACGCCAAAACTCAAGTCAAATCCAGTAGGAAAATAGAGTTCACCATTCACTATTTGGCAATCTCCGGACAATAGTCACCAGTCCACTGGTGATTGAATTGGCACCCAACCACAGAGTGCCGCTTATGAAAAACGGATTATTCCGTCTCATCAATGGTGATTTATGGTGAACGATGTTTAATTCAGTTCAGGCAGACTCTTCCGGAAGACGGCGAAGTCGTACCTCCTCGAGTCGCGGCGTCGCGTTTCCATAGGGCGCAGAGACCCGCGCTCGAAAAGGTGTCATCCATCGAATTTCTTGCCCGTCGCGTATGATAATTCTGCCCGACTCCCAAGTTACGAGCGACCCGTTGTTTATCGGTAGCCTCTACCCCGTTTTGGCACGGGCGGACGCTTCGGTTTCCTTGGGCTCGCGGAGAAGGAAACCAGCGCAATTTGCTTTTGATAGTAATTGTTATTGAACTTGGCGCTGAAAAGAGAATCGTCTCATGAATTGGGCATCTCGGTTCATGTTTATCAAGGAAATGAGGCGAAAATTTGCCAGTAATTATGAATATGAAACGTGGAATTTCTTATGATAGCCTGAACTGAACTGGGAACAGTAATGAGCCCAGCTCCACCTTGCTAAAGAAAAACGTCATATGAACCTTTAGGCGTTGCCAGATTTCCTTTGATACAACACAAATTCCCTGGTAAACATATGAATATTTTTTTCCAATTAATTAGATACTTTTATTCGCAATTTCATCTAATATTCCTGAAATTTTCAAGGATAAATATTCATAACTTGCCTCAAAAATAAACATAATATAGAGGGAAATTTGGCAACCTTCGAATGTTCATACGGCGTTCTCCCTTAGCGCACGGCAAAACTGCTTGGAGGGAATTTAGCCAAACACGGTGAGAAAAAAAACTGCCGTCAAAAGGAAGACTGCCGTGATAGCGAAGAGAGCCGAAGTCACAAATTTTCTAAATTGAGTTTCTTCCTAACTTTCGTCTAATCTCTTTCAGATGAAATTAGTGAAATAGCTAGAAGAGCAAAATTCGTCTTCTCTGTATAAAAACGAAAGATACGAGAGAGCAGAAATTCTTTCTTCCGAGTTGGAGTGATCGCGATACGTTGCGATTTGATCGGAGAATGTATCGCGATTTTATCGACGTCGAATTATTGCAATATTATCGGATGAAAAATTGCGAAAAATTGCAATGAATTCGTAATTTTATCAACGGCAATGTATCGCAATATTATCGAACAAAAAATCGTGAAAAATTGAGGTGAAACTCCGATTTTATCGAGGGCGATTTTGGAGAGCTAAAATTGCGATAAGATTGAGGATAATCGCTTGGATGTTGATGATCTCAGCGATTTTATCGCCAAAAAATCTTCAAAAAATAGCAACTTAATTTTAAGGTATCGCAATTTTTCCATTAAAAATGCTACTTGGGATTTGATTCAAGAAACACTCTCCTGCAATCTGGCGGTGATCTCGGGACACCCTGTATTTTCCTCAAATCATATCGGCAACGCTGTTCATTCGTTCATTTTTAATGACGGCGATTCCGCTGCCATCTGCCATCTGCGCCACTTCAGAAGAACACCGGGGAAAACCGAAATCCGTGCTGGGATGGGCTGAAACGCAATTTGAGCCCCCTTGCCCTCCCCCCCTCCCTACGCTTTGCCTGCAAATGAGGATAGTATCGACCAAAGGCAGAACAAAGGGCTTGACAAATGAGAGGCAGGGTCACTTGAGCTGCTAGATGGAACTGAAATACGCGGACTAAAATGATTTTATGAGTCAAGCTGAAAGTTACTAGGGTGTATTAAGATTATCGATATCAACTCACTTTTTTTACTTAATTTTTACTTTTTTTTAAATTTAAAAGTTAAAAGTGTTAACTTACTTTTTACTTACTTTACTTACTTTTTTATTAGACTAAAGAAAGTAACTACACTTTAACGTTACAAAATCTCTGCTCAAAAATTTTGTTTCTACCAGGAAACTACCTACAGCGCAGCGTTTTAAACTAAAAACTTCAGTTATTTCTCTTCTCCTTACGCGCGAAAATCACCAACATTTTGGAATACATCTGTAAAAAATTGCATTATTTCGAACAACTTTGCAACCTTGGGATGGAGTAACGTACCGTAGTCTAGGAAACGGCAATATTTTAAGCTGAAAAATTTCTAGCTGATTGATGACTTCACACAGCTTATTGTACTTAGTATTTTCTGAGAATTTAGGTCAATGATCCTGTGAGATCTGCTATTGCAAGATGTCATAACGTTTATACAGTGTATTGCATCGATGAATGCCGTTATAAAAAATGTATGAGCCCTTTTCAGAGGATTTCTATTAATTTTCCTCTCTCCAATTTTTTTTAATTTGATATTTTTCTTTATTTTTCTTCTGTTTCATCATCCCCAGTTTATCCTTGTGTTTCAAACGTGTTTTACTTTTGGCCTTCTTTCATTTCTTCACATAGGCCGGAACCAAATTGGGGGCATACGCCCTCCTCCCCCCAATTTCTTTGCCTCCCCCTCCCCCCGTTCGTCTGAAAAAATGAGGAAGAAAAAGAGAAGGGGGAAAAAGTAGAAACGGAGGAAATTAGAAGGAAAAATGCTTATATTTGGCAATTATTCGTGACAAAATTGACTCAAAATGCATATTAGACGCTTCATTTTAACAATTTTGGGGGGGACCCTCAGACCCCCCTTACACCCCCTCGTTCGAGATGTCTGGATCCACTTATGATTAAGTGTAGAACTACGTTACGGGTGCGTTACGAGAGGGTAAAAAAATCCAATGTCTAGCGTGACGTCTTCCATAAACGGCCTCTTACAACACTACCCTGAGAATATGGATTGTATTTAGCAAAAAAAAAAAAAAAAAAAAAAAACCACCGCGATTGCAGTTTTGTAAAAATGTTAGTTCTTCATAATTATCTAAAAAATCTTCCAGAACAGCAAATGGCTTTCGCTTCCACCAAAAAATTATTCATTTTAGAGGGACAAAATGGTGTGAATTTTAATACTGTACATATGTCGAGCATATTTAAAAGGAAAAAAGAAGTTGGACGATTTTGAAAACACTGTAATCGCGCCGGTTCCTTTTCGCCAAATGCGATCCATATAATCTAAGGAGCTTATTCAAAAGCAAAAGGTTGGCATCACCGGTCATAGTAAAATTGAAGATGAGCCCAGCGCTGCCAAACCGAATATGATCCGAATCCAGCGGTCAATAAGCCCGCCGAATTCGAGGCTTATCAGAGTTGGTAACCTTGCGCCCCGGTGGTTGGCAGCCTTGCAGCGAGGCTTAAAAAGTCCGCACGGCGGCACGCTTAAACACTACTCTCGGGAACTTGGTTAGGCACCGGTCGCTGGACCCTGTGTTTTACCCTTTCGCACGGTAACGCGGATTCACTCGCAACTAGTTTCGAATAGGCTTCAGCTTTGTCTCGACGCGGATCAACCTAGTTTTTGTTCACTTCTAGCTAGTTTGAATTTTCAGCGTGATAAGCTTGTTTTTCTTTGCTAGATTCTCGAGCCTCTGTGGACCGGTTGAACTTAAGTGCAGTTTAGTGCAGCTATAAGAAACATAATGGCAGCCAAGTACAGTTTCAGCGTTTTGGCCCTTCTGGCGGTGCAAGTGTGTGTGGCGCTGTCTGCGGATTGTCCCTCTTTCAGTACGTAGTTTTTTTTTTTTTTTTTAAAAAAAATAAAAAAATAATTCTTCTTCATTTTAGCTTACGTCTCTGATGATCTAATTATGAGGGTTTAAAAAAGCGTGAATTCGACGAATTTGAAAACATATCAGATGAAAATTACCATTAGGAGATTCTTAAAACAAGTGCACTGAAAAAAAAAATTGGTAGAATTTAAAATTCCTTCACGCTGTATTTCACACAGCATGAATTCTAAGTTGATTCTGCCAGAGGAATGGTTACCTGTGCCAATATATAGTAACGTTTACCTTTCCTCTAGCAGAATTGTCTCTATGAATTGACGCTGTGTGAAATACAGCGTGAATGAATGGTAAATTCTACCAACCTTTTTTTCAGTGATGTACACGAAAGGAAGAAAAGTGCGAAAGGAAGTGTGTGCGAAAGGAAAAAATCGATACATTCTTAAACAATTAAGAATGTATCGATTTCTTCCTTTCGTAAGATGTAAACTATACCCTACTCTCAAGCACCAATTATCAGGTTTTCCAAATATTCATTCTATTGATCTGACGTTACCTCAACTTCAAATGTGTTTTTTCTAAAATTATGACAAATTCACATGATTTCGTGATTCTTGAAATACAGTATACCTTTCAAAAAGAAAACATTTCCCCAAGAGTGGTTGAATCTTGAGAATGTTGAATCAGAGAATAAAAAAGGGAGGGTAGAGAAACTCATAATTGATCACAGAGGTCAATCATCCGCTTTTCCGTCATTGACCTCAACTACTAACCATCTCCTCCTACCTAGCGTTTTATCGTGCTTCTTAGTATAGTTCTCAGTATCTTTTTAGTGAGAATCTTTTCCACCAATTTAGCGTATTATTTACCTTTCATCATGCACATTCTTCAATTTTTTTTATGATTTTTTAGGATAACACATATTTTTACCCAGTTTTTGACATCGTATATCAATAAATCTATCTTAATGAAATTTTTAGAGAAGGGTTGTGGGGAGGATTACTTTAACCCTGACCAAGTAACGGCGGGTCCTCAATAAGACGTCGCTTGTGTTGCTTGTGCCCTTAAATATATTATACTTTACGTGAATTTCATCAGGAACCACCGTTCCCTGACTCAAGAAAGGATGATGTATTTTTATTGAGATTTTTTCTGAACGAAAGGTTTGATGATCTAGGTACAAAATAAAGCAGGTGCTAAGGGATCGGAAAATTAAAATTTGTTGTCAATAACCGAATCATTGCGTGCATTTAAAAAGTAGAAGTAAGCTAAAGGCATTTCAAATAATTGTATGTATCCATTAAAATATTGCCGTAATGCTAGCGAGAACTATGATGAGTAGAAATTCAGAAACGGGTACATAGGGCTCTGTTAGCTGAATTGCTGATTTTCTGAAATTTGAACTCTCTGGAAACCCTTATTTTACCTGAATTTCACTTATATCGTGACATCAAAGATATGATATAAACCGGTCGATCCCTTCCTACATTTCTACTCCAGCGTTAAAGTCACTAAAGAAACCAACAATAAGACTCGTCATTGTTCTCACTTGCACTAGCACACTTTTAATGGACAGATAATATCATTTAATATGTCTTTACAGCTTACTTTCTCATTTTAAGGGCACTCGATGGAGGATGAAATTTGCTGTACTACGATGTTTTTCTTCGAAAAATCGTGGCGTTTCGTCTAATGAAAATCCAAGTGATTAATCTTCTCAATCGAATGAATAATTATATTGATCCATCATATTATTGCTGTGTAACATTCTTATCGATGAATGTTATAACGCGTACAGACGCTCGTAACACTAATGTATACATAAATCAAACAATAAATATGGATGTATTCGCTAAGTGTGTATATAGGAATAGAACAAGGAGCGCAACCTTAGTTGCTGAATCTGTGAAGAAGACGCGAAGTTGATTACAACACATAGATGCAACTATTGGAACTTCATGTACATCCCCATTTTGCAAATGAAAATAATTGAAGATGCTGTGCGTTTTTTAATTCTAACATATGGATGCAACTATTCGTGTTCTCTGGATGCCCGTGTTGCATACCAAAAAAATGAAGGCGCCCTGAGTGTTTCGTCTTTAAACAATGAAAGCGTCACTCGTCGTTACTAGCCTATAATTCCGAGTTGTTCATCTAATTTCAGAATTTGAAAAATCCCCGCCAATTCATACATGTTTCAACAATGAAGATTTTACGGATAGTTTCCGTAATAATTCGCCCGAAGCTTACTTTGGCATTCAAATCTTTCAAAAGAAAGGTAAAAACAGGGAAACCTCTATTTTATGGAAGATTTTACTCTCAATGCAGAAAAATTTTTTCGTTAATGCAGAGCATTGAAGTTCGTTGTCGAGGTAACTGAATTTTTGATAATACGATCAAAACCTCAGTTCAGGTTACCAAAGTGTTTAGTAACCATGTAAGCTTGTCTAATTTAACGAAATTTCTGATCAGCGGAACCGCAGTTTGGAGTCCATGACCGGAAACTTTCATTGCTTGCATCGAAGACTTAAGTTTTCCATCCGCACAGGAGTTCGGTCCTTATAATCTAGGTTTCCCCCCTTATACGTTCTAAACGCTGTGCACGTTGAAAAATCCCCCTTTTTTTGCTCAAAAGTAGACTAGACTGAAGTACCCATTTGATATTTATTAAATCTGAATAACTTCAATGCCCCTTTAAATGATTATTATTTATAAATTTAGTCAGGGTGCATGTAATTACACCGAGGCAGATGACAGGATATTCTGCACGCTGGAAGAATAATATAGCACATATTATATATACGTTTATTATAGGAAGAATATATAATTTATTACTTTTACCAATTGACCACCAGGCCTCGCAAATAATCCGCTTATTTTGTCGCTCTGATGACGAGCAAGTGCATCTTTATTTTCACGTGAGCTATTTTGTTCGTATGAACCCATGCTTTTTGTGGCTCACTTGGAAATAGGGATACGGATTAACATTATAAGAGCGACGATTGGTTGACCGAATTCTCTCAAGAGTTATACTGTCGTACAAGCTGATGATATAGGTCATCTCTGCCGCTACGGAAGAAAATCGTATGAGCCTTTAGGCGTAGCCAAATTTCCTCTGATAAAACTCAAATTTCCCAGTGAATTTATGAATATTTTCCTTCCAATTCTTCAGAGAATATTTTTCTCAATTTTATCTAAAGTTCCTGCAAATTTCAAGGAAAAACATTCGTAACTTCCCTCAAGAATGATCATTTTACCGGAGGAAATTTGGCAACTCGCGAATGTTCATACGACGTTTTTCCGTAGCACGGCAGATCTGATGGGAGGTAATCCAAGTCACAGGCAGTGGCAGCGCGTGCTTTATCGATTGATCTGCCACTTAAACCTATGTAAAAGGATCGATAAACAGATTGATCTAAATATCGTTTATTTACCACAGCTTCAAATGGGGAAGTATCGATATTCGATCATTCACGCCTCCCCACTGGCTACAGGGAAACCACGCGGAAATCACCAAAACGGAACCGTCCGGGAAAATTCTTCGGAACGAATCCATAGCGCCATAAACAAATCATCCTCTCATCTCAATGCAAGCCAGGTTGAGTGATGACGTATTATGCAACAGTGGCTTGCGCAATTTTACGGAGTGCAATGCGTTATTTTCTGCACACACATGATAACGCACGACTGAGCTGGTTCAAGTGCAAGGGTACGTTGTTTACTGTGAATGGAGAGCCCTAGTTTAATGCGACAGCGATAAAACGGGTAGTGTTTGTACATCGGAAAATAGCGCAAGTGCCAGCCAGCTGCGATAGATACACGAGTTAAATTGTTGCCAGAAAATAAAAATAAAAACAGAACATACTCATCCGATTTAGTCAACAATGTTTTCCTCCGGATGAACGTTATGTTTATATGTTTATGGCTAACTTTTATTGATCGTAGTATCCGAACGTATAAAAATAGATCAAACTTACACTGCTCATTACATACAATTAATTCAGACTCATATTACATTACTACATTATTACTCAACCACATTAAGTACGATTACACAGTACAGTAATTAAAAAATAAAGACATAAAAAAAGAAAATTTCCAAAGATTTCCATTTAAATTCTTCCGGCTATATCGTTGAAGACCAGAGTCAGACGTCCTGGCACGGCCAAAACATCATTCAATTACCTGAACCAATTTTCGGTTGCGATGACCATAAAAGTCGGTTATCTGAACCGAAAACTCGGATGTATCATTTGATTCGGGGATTTTTCTCCGGGTAGACGGGTAAGGGACGTGTCATTAGAAATCTTCATTCGTAAATCTAAGTCACGCTATACAGTATTGTACCTGTGGCCTCTGTTTTCGGTTTTCTTTGTTTTCCTAAGTCTGTGAACAGAAAATCATTGCCAAGTCCGCATATCTTGCGCGCCTGACTTTTTGAAGCAGGCAACACAACAAACATGATGCAATAATCACGTGCAGGTTGGTAAACCGATAATTAGTACGTCTTGCATAGTGTTTGTTTGTTTGTTTGTGGTGGGGTAGTGGGAACTCTCCTAGGATAAAATTTTCTAGAACGAAAGAATCTTTCTCTTCAAAAACTCATTCATATAATGTGAGATCAAGTTGTCCCTTAAGATTTTCCTCTTTACAGGGATGAAGAATGAAATTCTTCAGAGGAACTGGCACCTCTAATTGTGAGTTTACGCTGAAAGCATAAGCGGCCCCTGAATAATTTGAAATATTCTACCCGAGAGAACATAAATTATTGCGAGGTCAATTTCCTCTCCGTCACACGTTATAATTACATTTTCCCAATTTTGATGGAAGTTTACCCCCGCTCAGGAAATCTGGAACGTTCTAAGAAGAGGACACTTTAAATTAATATTGATATTTCCATCCATTGACCGCGGTGAACCGTAGGAAAATCGTGACAAGTTCTGGTTTTCGATGTTTTGTGGTCATCGCTGGAGCTGTGGGTTAGGGGGCGGGGGGCGGGGA